ATGCACTTGTTCCTAGTAGCTTATTGTTTCTACTAGCTTCTTGTTACAAGTGTCTCAGTTCTGTCTCAGTTCTCTTCATGTCTTTCTCTTCTCGTGGGTGATGTAAAAGAATGTGAAGACGGCGTGTGCAGCCGGGAGCAATGCCTCGAGCAGCATCAAGAACTGGATGCATCATAGATTGGGGATACATCCCATTACCAGTGTAATTAACAGTGGATTCTTGTTTGCTTAGTAAAGCCCCTTCCTTCAAAATATATAGTGATAGCCCTTTTGCCAACATAGGGCGGTACTGGGATACACCGTTCACACCTTATACGTCGCTACTCGACATGTCACCAAGTCACCATGATTCCCTCGGATCCGCGTGACTGGGACCGGTTTCTGAGGCTCCTGGCTGCATAGATATCCTTGAAGTAGATGCTCGCATGAGCCAGCAAGCAGCAAATGTCCTGCAGAGAGGCACTGGTCGTCGGACCGGAATGGCTTGGGTGGATTTCGGAAGCGTCGGCAATCCGCTGATAGATGCTGATATTGATTGATCGACATGGCTCATGCTTCTCTCTCCGAGACCATGGCTCATATTAAGGAAGAACCCCCAAAACGGCCCAACACGCCCGACGCGGCCGCCTGGACAGGGATGTCCAATGATCTCAAGAATCCTTAGATGGACATCCCGCAGAGCCACGGGCTGCTGTGTCTCAGCTCTCAATCTCTGTCTGTTGCAGCCCCCCAATTGGCTGCAAGCTAGGCTTCTCTGACTGGTCTATTTCCCAAACCTTCCAGGGGTTCAGAACGCCTGTTTTCATGAGGTCCCCATGTCTTCACCGACACGCCCGGTTTCGCCCATCGATCACACGCCCAGGGCACGGAGCATCGAGAGCAGCAACTTGGCACTCTTGGCGCTGGCGAAGCTACTGGGAACCTGAGCTAATTATTAGGTTGGAGGCCATTACTAAGACTCTAAGACTTAGTATCAAGAAGCTATTCGTATAGCTAGAAGCTATTAGCTTGAAGGCCATCGCTAGCTTGTGCTTCCCCGGCCGAGTGGACGGGGAAATCGGCGAAGGGAACCCACCGGTGTTTTCAACACACACCGCCCAGCCAGGTGTGGCTGGTGTCATGTGTCGAACGATGGGCCCAGGCGGCTCGCTTTGTGAAAGATGACTGGAAGAAATCCAAGATGACGACTGGAGGAAGGTCCTCTTAAAGGGAGTGTGGCGTTCACTTCTTTCACCGTGCAAAAGCATTGGTTCAGAAGGAACTTTGTTCTTGGATGTTCTTGGGTTCCCGCCCTGGAGGATCCTGAAACTGAGAAAAAGGGTGGGTGCGTTCCAGTGGCTCTGTGTCCTCGATTCTCCTACCACCCCACTGTACCACCCCACCCCTCACCAACATCCTTGAGAAGTTCGCCATAAAGCGACCTCTTGAGCCTAGAGTCGGACAACTTTGGTGCCTTTTCGGTCCCTCAAAGCATCACTGCTTGGAACCAAAGTTGTCGCTGCTATTCTTGGTCACAAAAGAATAGATGATATCTCACTGCTTGATTCCTCCTCTCCTCTCTGAAGAGCACATGTATAATTTCTTAGCAGAACTCCTTTCCCCCCTAACACACCAGATCCGCCCCACGCAGATCGATCCCATCACAGCCACCTTTGAGAGCTCCAAGTAGACAGCCAGCAAGTCCAAATCTTCGAGACTAAAAGCAAACCTGGCATCCGGTGAACGAATGTGAACGACCAATGCATCCGGAATCGGACCACCAGCCAAAGTCAGATCTTCCACCCACAGAAGCAGCTCCCAATGCGCACGAAAGAAAACTCAGGAAACAAACACCCTGAGTGCCGTTGATGTCCAAACAATCACAATGTCTCTCTTCCGGCTCTTGAAAATGGGCGTTGAAGAACGGATGTTGCTGCGATACGACTCATGAGTGCCTTTCGATCTGAAGGTTGCAAATCCATCCCAAAAGACCGTCTCTGCAAACACAAACAAAAACACCCAAAGATCCCTTTTGTATCGTCCCCAGTAAAAAGCTCTAGGGGGGGTCTGGTCCTGTTAGTCAAAGAAGTCTCTGTTGAAACACGCAGAAAACCCTTTGTAAAAAGGGCCTGCGTACGGCGCACGCGTGCTCGTACCCTACCTTTACACAGCACACAGCCCCGACGGCCGTTAGGGAAGACCACGTGCTCTTGGGCCTTTCATGTTCTCGAAGCCAATGGCCAGGTGGCAAACAGCTGTTTTGCCCCCAGCGGACATTGCTCTGGCCTCAAGATCTCGTGCCAAGCGCAATAGAGAGATCTCGTCATGTTGGGTGACTGGTGTGCACCGTTTGCGGAGAAAGCTCCACAGCAGTGACGAGCAAGTGTTTGACCTCTTGCTTCGTTTGTTGTTTCCAATCTGATGGTTTGGTGCTGCTGAGATGAGTGGATGGCAAAACAAGAACACATTCATGAGCGCTTGCGGAGCACATGTGATCTTGTGGCACTCACTGCTTCGTCAGGAAGAGTCCATCTGACTCTTCAAGCAAGCACAGACTCCTCTCAGCCTCTCAGCCTCTCTGTGAGTTCCAACATCGTTAGGCCAAGCAGCTCGAGATGCTGCTGCCCGAGATCGCTATACTGCTTGGTGTACCTGCACTCGTGGACCTTGGACTCTGCGTGCGAATTCGCGTTCGGAGGTCGTTGATCTGTGTTCGGACGTGGGTGGTGTGGCCAAATGCTGCGGGTGTCTCGATGGGTGTTCGGTGCAAGATGTTCAGAGTTCCGGTGTAGAAGACTTCTCGTTCTGTCGAAGGACTTGACTGGACGAAGGACAAAACAAACAGGAACTTACACGGCCAATGGATGAAATGATATATATCAAATTAGTAGTTCATTTCTCCTGCTTTGCTTTCACTGCCTAGTTTTACTTACTAGTTGCGGAACTAAGAGACAGAGAGAGAGAGAGAGAGCTCGTGATCAAGGCGCCGAGCGCTCAGAACGGTGAGATGTGAGCAGATGTGAACACCATCCGTTCGCCTGTACTCTTAATGTAGACTCTTGATTCATAACCCCCCATTTCAATTGGAAATCCTCAGGCCGTCCCTTCTAGATTGGAGGCCATCGCTCTTGGGGGGAGGCCATCGCTATTCGATTCCTTTTTCCTTCGCTTCATGTGCTACTTCGCCGACGTGATGGGTGAGACGGCACTCGAGGTCCCCCTCGGGTCCGAGGCCAAGGAAGCAAAAAAAGGGCAGCAGGAAGTCATAGCCGTCATAGCTACTCCAGCAATTTGGGAGGTTGGAGTGAACTCTGATGACTCCACGTGTTTCCTTTACGGATAACATAAGATACCAAGTTGAAATGTCATACCCTGCAGTCCCCTTAAAGTCACCTCATTTATGAGCATCGTGGTGGCCATAGCCCCTTCAGTGTCACTGGCCTCCAATGCATCACCATGCATCACCATGTGCATTTCCTCAACATGCTGTCGAAACCCAAGCAGAGTATACCCAGGTAGATCTTGGACCTTTGGGGCTTGCAAGAACCTTGCTTCAGTCTCCATCATCATGTATTCCAGTCGGAGGGCAGGGCCTTCCCACGCTGCCCGGGGAAGATTAGCAACTCAGATTCTTGGATCGCCTCGCACTGGATGTCGATGGCCTCGTTTTCGAAAAGCTACCACTTCAAGGGTGAGTGGGCATTCATCTTGGTAGCAAAGAGCTGAAAGGGATACAGTCGTCATCACAGCCCGATCTTAGCATGAATGCAGGCCAACTTCTAACGACAAGAGCATCAAACCAGAAGAAAAAGAACGCAAAGAAATGTGAAACAAATGTCTTCAATTACACCGAACACCGATTCGGGCAACGTCTTTCACGAGCTTCACGAACGCGCCCTTCTTCTTGTTCGGTGTTAGACGGTCCAAAACAGTCCACTCACGAATGCGGCACGTGTTTCATGACGAATGCTTCCTTGAAGCAAAAAAAAAAAGCAAATAGCCAATAGACTTCCTGAGCGCGGCCCACCTCAATGGATCTCAGGCTTGATCTCTGCTTGGATCTTGTGCAGGTAGGCCTTGGAAAGCCCAGAAGGATCTGAGTTGGGATGGTACCTTCAGATTCCATGTTTCGTTTTCTTTGCCAAAATGCTCATGTGAGGGTTCATGGTCCACCATCTGCTTCTTTCGATTTCCTCTTGGAGAGTCCAGCAGTGGGGCCCCTGAAGCCCCATTGTGCCCCCTGATGTTCTCACGCAACCAATAAATCAGGGTGACTGGCGACATGTGAGATGTTTGTGTCACTCGAACCGACCATGGCAGAAGGGTGAGATGTTTGTTGGTAATTCGTCGTTGGTGATTCGTGCGGACCGCTTTCTGCATGCGTTAAGGGCTACCGCTTTTTCTGGATGCTTGAGCGGTTGGTCTTCGTGGTTGGCACACAGGACAAACCCTATATGTCCAGGCACAAGGCTCAGCATCCGAGACACAATTTCCTGGTCGAAGCCATCGCTAGTAGGTTGGAGGCCATCGCTAGTAGGTGGGAGGCCATTGCTAGTAGGTTGGAGGCCATCGCTAGTAGGTTGGAGGCCATCCCTAGTAGGTTGGAGGCCATCGATCTTAGTATTAATGAGCTTCCGCGCTCATCACAAGACCCTTCCGTCGCCCCCCTCGCGAAATGGCCACCCGGTGGCGAGAGCTTCTTTGGCGCTTCTCCGCTGCACAACGATCTCCGCGATCCAGGTTGGTAAGCCATCCTGCAAGGGTCCAGACTCTGAAGAATTGAAGAGAAAAAAGAAGACGGACGTGTTGAAGAACAGCTAGTATAGAATCTTTCATGGATTTGTCTGGATGCATTTCTTTATTAAAGAAAAACAAATAAAGAACGCAATTGGCTTCTCATGGCTTCTCTCTGTTCTGGGCTCCACACCCCCCTGGCTCCACACCCCCGTGACACCACCGGTTTTTCACCCCGCGGGACCGTTCCTGAGGTCCCACCACTTTGGTGCCGGCTTTCACGTAGGGCTTGGCCCAAACGATGCCCTCCTCGCTTGGAGCGAAGGACCAAGGGGCGGACTTAAGGCGTTGGACCGAAGGCGTTGGACCGAAGAAACGGGGTCGGTCAACGGAAACGGGCTCGGTTTGGAGGGTATCTGAGAACTCGAACATCCCTTGATCTTCAGGTATTTCCGTCATCTTGGTCTCACTAGGTTGATACATACCTGGCATAGTCTATGTCAATGTCTACCACCTAAACCATTCATACCACCCTTCGCCTGCCTGTTGCTGCAAGGACCTCAGGGTCAAGCTCACAATGAGGCGACGTTCGAAGCCTTTGTTGTTCGCCCAAGCTGCTCCGTGTACTGTAAGTATCAATAAGGTTGTCTCTTAAAGAATCGCTGTTAATTGCACTATGACAAAGAGCAAGGCTGAAAAAGACTGCTTGCAAATACATGTGTCATCATGAGAATGATCGTGTCTTGCATGTGCCAATGACTTATCATAACTAACTGCTCTGCCTCCTCCACCAGCTTCCCTTTTGGTCTTAAGCCCATGCCATAGATAGAGACCACGAGCTGCAATTTGACACAGGCCAAAACAGCCCAGTGATGGTCTTTCAGGGGAGTCTTTCATGCAGTTGCGATGGTCTTTTGATTTGGGGCATGTTTGAAGATGTTGACTGACATGGCTTTCTCCAGTGACTGACATGGCGTTTTGGAGATATCTTGCCAAGATGTCTTTCCATGCTTTAACCTTCCCCCAAAAAAATAACTGTCAATACATGTCAATACCCAAGCACTCCACCAAGGGACACCAAGAAGTCCAAGTTCTGAAGCGTTCCACTCACTTCCGCATTGATGTCACCTGCATGGGCGGTGTACGTGATGTCGACATGTCCAACTCTCTCTCTCTCTCTCTCTCTCTCTCAAATCGTCGAATCTCTAGCCTATTAATAGAAATGGCCTCCAACCTGATGCCCTCCAACCGAACAGGACTGGCCTCCAACCTGCTTCTTCGCTTTCCCGTATCCCTGCGATGTCCCGACCCCCATGGCTCCCGCTCCGCTCCGCACCGCTCCGCACCGTTCCGGCCCTTCCATCTGGGCACCCCGGGCAGTAGGCCACGCCACCTCCAGGCGGATCCTTTGTGGCGATGAAGGGCCGACAGGGAATCCCTGCCGCAGCGAAGAGGGTCTCCTGGTGGGCGCCAAAACGGTGCCAAAACCTGCGGTCTTCGCTGCCCAGCCTTCCTTGGAGTCAGTTGGCCCAAGGTTCGCAGACCAAGTTGATCCAACAGCTTCCCAGTGCCACCATCTGCCACCAAACCGGAAAAAAAAACACAAAGAAACCCTAACTTCACGTCCATGTCCTTCGCTTCCTTCCACCTTCCGCCCGGTCAACCACCTTCTCGCTCCTCCACCAGGTCGACGCCCCAGACGCGCTCGTTGGTCTCATGGACCTGTCCACCGCCCATCCGCGCGTTCACCTCCTTGGACGAGCGAGGGCGCATCGAACGGAGCGTTCGGACGCGACGAACGGGGTGCTCTTGGCATTACTACTAACCAGAAGTTACTTAGGGTGGAGGCCATCACTATTAAGGTGGATGGTAACCTAGTAACCCCTTCTTGGATCGGGGGGCCTTCTTAACCTAAGGACCACTTGACCGCCGAATCGATAGGTGCAACGGATTCCTGGTCACATCTGAACACACATGTGACCAGGTGGCAGTCAGTTGAAGATGTGCAAGTTGTGCATGTTGTGCAAAAGATTTGGTTGACTCTCGTACTATCTCATACTGTCATACCGTTCCATTCCTCCCTGATGTGCGTTTTCACTCCCTGAGATTGCCAAGTGTCTATGAGCTGGGGGCCATGACTGGTGTACTTGCACTCCACATGGAAGACGCCTTCGGTGAAGCCCAAGCATTTCCTCGTGGACGGAAAAAAAGGGGGTCCGGGGTGACATGAAACGAACCGGCAAAGTCAGATGAAGTCGTCGTCAATCATCTCCATCTTTCGCTAAAACAAACTGCGGCCTTTCGGCAGGACACTGGGTACCTCTGAATGTGGGTTTGTTGAGAAGTCCGGGATTCAACTAGGACCTGTGAGTTCCACCCAGGCGGAGGGTGAAACGACCCTTTTAACATCTTTTAACCGTTTGGGCAGGCTTCCTGGAACGACTGGCGAACGACCCGTTGTCCATGTGGCGAACATGGAGGGGAACTCTATGCATCAACTGGACTGCTTGCGCTGAGTGGGAGGCAAGGATCATTCATAGATGATCAAACATGTGACCACTAAGAGGTTTCGGACTTCGGATGGCACACCTTGCAACCAAAACGGAAGAGACCACTCTACACCCATAGACCGGCAACCCTGGATCTTCCAAGAAAATGCCTGGCCGTCGGCCATCCGCCGTCCGCCCTGTCGTGTCGATTCTCTGCCCTTGCGACGCGTGGGGCACTTGGAGTCGAAGCCCGTAGCGACGCTGAACCGACCGTCACCGGTCCGAGCGTCAAGGTCTCCACCGCCAGGTCCTTCAGTTCTTTCTGCTGCTTCGACGGCAGGAGCGATGGGCAAACTGCCCAGGTCTCCTCGGCGGTCTGCGGAGCGGAGCGGCACCGGCTGTCTGCGGAGGCTCGTTCGGTGGGATCCGGCCAAAGCAGACATGCTCGCCACAGAAGGGCAACCGACTTTGGCATCTCTAGAATCCACTCCCAACGGTCGGCGCTGGAGCGCTGGAGCTGCTCCGTTGGGATTCTCCTAACTTCGCATCCTTCGTATTCCTGTCACCATGCACCTCTCACCACGGCCCTTGTCCCTTCCGCCGCGGCGCGTTGAAGTAGGGCTCCAAGGTCGGCCCGTTGTCCGTGACCGCCGCGTAGCGCCACTCGCCGCCGCTCATGACGACGTCCACGTCCACTTCCCCACCATCCAGGTACTGCTCCAGGAGAATGGTGCAGTCCATGGCCTTCTCGGCACGGATGCCCTGGCGCAAACGGTGTCGGCGCGACGGATGGCGTGAACTGCTCGAACCGCGCGGATGCCCGATGCGCGTCCATGTTCCCAATGCACTGATGGTCACATGTTCATGTAAGAGGAAGAAAACTCCCATCTCTCACCGTCCATGGCTATCTCCCTTCACCTAGTAACAAGTGCCTTACTAGTAGTAACAAGAAGCTACTAGTAACCGGTGCATCGCTACTAGTAACAAGGGCATTACTACCACTTTGGACCACGCGTCGAACCGTCCTTCGCCTGGCCTCACGAGGTCCTCCCTCCGGGCCTTGCCGCTGCCGTCGTCCTGTGCCAAGGCGCCACTGGTGACCACCAGCTTCGAAAGCTCCGCCACGACCTCCATCCGCTCGGGCGTCGGACATGGAGGTCGGTTCCGCTGCGGGGGGTGGGAAAGCACACAATCCCAACACGTTGAGACAAAAGAGTTGTTGGATCTTCAGTAGTTCTGTGCTAAAGGGTGGTTGGATGATCACCAGGAACAACCCGATTTTTCTCTGAACGCTCTGATCCAGGAAATATAACATATAATATATACCCTATAGCCTTCAAAGACCATTAAAAGAACGGTTGAGCAGGTGGTGTAGTGTAAAAATCCTTAGTAAAGCAATGGTTCTTTGGTAAAGAATATTAAACAATGGTTGTTTGAATCCTAGGGTATATAGTATATTACAATATAATACAATGTAATAATATAATGTAATACATATGCTCTAGACCCTATAGTGGCCCTAGTGACCTCTATTTTAGGCCATCGGTATATGATATGTCCACTCCATGAATGAATGACCTGCCGATCGCTTCGACGACCCAGCTTCAGGCGTAGCCGTCGGCGCCTCGGCGTAGCCATGTCGGAGCTCCTCGGAGCTGCTGACCTTCTTCACCTCAACGGCGCTGGTCGTGGGTGCTCGGCGGGCTCGGGTGTGAGGGGTTGATCATGATAGGCTTTAGGCTGTGACCAGAGGTACGAATGAAGGTGACAGGTGGACGTTGTGCTGTCACCTTCAGATGATTTGGAGAAGTCATGGGATGCAAACAGAACTGCATGGTCAGGCAGGCATGGAGGCATTTGCACCAAATGCATCTTTGCTGTGTTGTGCAATGATCGCTTCAGATTCATGTCTTTGACACCACTCCCCAGATCGTTCTGGCTCACCAAGGGGCTCCCAAGGAGGCGGCGCCACTGATGGGCTTGATCACTGCCGGGAAGCCGACCTGGGTGCAGCCGCGAAGAAACACCGTCAAGGCGTTGACCGACATCGTTTTGCATTGATACAATTTGTATCTTTGTAAACTCTCCCAGGAGTGTTGAAAAAATAAACGCGAAACTCTCCACTCAGCCTGGTTGTTTCGCTTTCCAGTGCTTTCTTTATGAACTGACGGGCCACCCCAAAGAAAACCTTCCAGCCACCCCTCTTCGCCTGTCTCTTCCACTCAGCCTACCATGGCTCCAAGACGCCGTTTGCTCGGCCTCCGGCAGCTGCTCCGGCGCGGTGATCAGCATGTTCTTCGGCGTGGGGAGCCCCGCCTCTGCCGTGCGCTTTCTGCGACGTGCGCGTTCTGCGGTTTTCCGCGGTGGCATTGGGTTCGACGGTGTTCTTTTTTCCCTAAAGAGAGAAACCCTTTGGATATGGAGGGGGCGGATTAGAATCGAGATACCAAGCAATCAAAGGTGTTTCTTTTAGGACAATACCATGACATGACTTAACGGATATTTCACACTTTGTGACATTCTTCTCAGAAACCTGTCACGCAAAAACCTGCCGCATCTGTATCACCTCGCACCTGCCGCATCTCCGCGCGTGTGCGGTGCTTGTCTCGAGCTTTGTCCACCGCCTCTGGGCGGTGTCCTAGCGGTGCGGTGCTAGCCGGGAAAGTCCATCCACCATCCAAAACCAGAAACTCTCTGCAAAACACACAGACCATCCCAACAACCCCCAACCACCCATCGTTCCACCCGCCGGTTCCCGGAACGTGTTCGCTCCGCTCCTGGCAGCCCCAGCACTTCGCAGAGCCGCGCGACCACCGGGACACTCAGCTCACAGAAGGTCACGCAGGCGTCGGCGTCCAAGGTGAGCGGGTCCTCACGACGGCGGAAAGCGAAAGCGAAACCGTTTTGGTTTTCTTCTTGGCTTTCTTCGTTGGCGTCCGATCGCTCCGTTCGTAGCGATGCCCTTGGTTGCATTCGGTTTCGTCCTAGTAGTAAGGCCAGGAGCGCCACTAATAGCGTCCTTCCCCAAAAAAGAAGAAAGAGGGAGTCGGCCAATTGTCGAACGGCTCTGGCGACACGTGAACTGTGACGACGGTGAAGTGATTGAACGATCTCCCCGACCAGCCGATGTCCATCTCCAGGTGATTAAGCTCACTTGCCAAAAGCCTGCTTCTTACAGTGTCTCTCATAGCACACCCTATACCAGCCCTATGGCCATTGGCTGCTTCCTTTCCACGTGGAAGACGGCCTGCCCAAGGGCCCGGATCGCATCCAAGGACTGCTGGAAGACGGCGTCGGCATCCTGGATGAGCGCTGGATGAGGGAAGAGTCGATCAATGAACAGAGGGTTCATGGCATGTTACTATTAGCGGTGGCCTCCACCTAGTAGTATCCTTGCTCCTAGTAAGGCCAGGAGCTATACTAATAGCGTCCGATCGCTCCGTTCGTAGCGATGCCCTTTGTTACTAGTAGCGTCCTTGTTCCGAGGGTTCATGGCATGTTGTCTTGGAGTTTCATCTATCTTGGAGAACTAACGGATCATGTCAATGACATGCGGGGAACATTCGCTGGGCTTTGACCTGCCACATAGATCCAAATAGGCTTTTGGGTTGCATGTACAAGGTGTCTTTCCTGCAGATCGGAACCACCTGTAAGCTGTAAGCCCATATAATGGTGTGTGATTTCGCCAGGACCCTCCCCAATCCAATTCAGCTCAAGTCCTGAAAAGGTTATACCAGCATAGACCCCAAACAGGGTCAGCTGGATTTGTTGCGTCAGTTCCTTGAATTCCGATGTTGGTGGAAACGTCTGCAAATGTTTTCCTATAGCCTATAGCCTCCAGCTGTTTGAGAACAGCATGTAAGCAAAGCAAATTGGGAACATGATGATATCTAGTTTGAAATGCTGCATCATGGACAAGGTGGTGGAGAAAGGGAAAACAGCGCCAAGAAGGGGATAAGACCACAAGGCGGTGATAAGAGGGCAACGCCAAACAGGACATAATGGCCCGGACAAGGCAATAGAAAAGGGCCCACGGCCAGGCCAATGGTGGCCAGCCCTGTTTTTGTCAGGAAAAACAAAAAAAGGGTAAAGCGACCTGCCTTACTTTGCGACGACAGACGCGATGACTGGGTGAAGGCCGAGCGAACTGCAGGATTCAGGCCGCGGTCCAACCTTCGACAGCGGAAAAAATACAGAAAACCGTTTTGTGCCGTGCTGTTTGGAAAAAAGGCCGAAGACCCAGCAAAAAGTATAGAACAAATGGAAGTTTTGGTGTTTGCTCTCCTGAAAAGGAAGGAGATATCAAGAACTAATTGAAAAAGGAAGGAAACATGTTTTCTTCCTCACAGTTGCCTGGGCCACATGGGTTCTAGAACCTTTTTCATTCATCCTGTGGGCCACATCAGATCACGTTCTCTCTCCCCTTCTCGTCTCGGCTTTCGGCATCTTTCGGGCCTGTGACATGTCGATGGGAATGAACTTGGCGATGATGCCTACGCGATGCGTCCATGCGTCGGATGAAAAGTCGATGGATGGCGTTGATGAAAAGTCGACCGACGCAAGGACGCAAGGACGCTGCTAGAGGCTCCTGGCATCGCTGCTAGGATCAAGGACGCTACGTTCGGGGCTCCTGGACTTACTACTAGGAACAAAGACGCAACTAGGAACATGTCTTCCTGAAAACTAGACTACTTAGACTACAGCTTCAGCATCCGTGATCTTAAAACCAATGCATCCAATGGCTGGGGGTCAAATTTGACACGTCGCGTTCTGCATCCTAGTAGAACTTTAGAGTTCTTCGTCACCTGAACTGCAGAACTCCCGTCTGGCTGAAGAAGGGCACTCAGTCAGACGAAAACTGCGCTCGACCCTGGGTAGGTGGCCACTCATATTATTGCATCCCATGTTAAATTATCGGACAATCACCTCAATTTACTGGAGTTGGTCCTACAGCAAAACACTACTCAAGGAACTAAAAAATAGGCTAAAAAAGGCCAGGTTTTGCTGGGTCACACTGGACTTGTAGGCTTCGCGGGCACTCTTTTGGTTTGCCCCTCACCGGTTCCCTCAAAGCGGTGGGTCGACAAAACCACGTCAACGAGGGAGTGGGAGAAAAGCACCAACGCAGCGAGAAACGCATCAAAGGACCAACAATTGGGTGGGCATTTTCATTTTCCCATGGATGTACCCCTAGTAGCGTCCTTGCTCCTAGTAGCGATGCCAGGAGCGCCTAGTAGCTTCTTGTTCCTAGTAGTGAGGCCAGGAGCCCCTAGTAG